TTAATAATAAAAAATGTTATCGGAAATTTAAATGCTACCAAAAGTGGTGAAAGAGTATTTTCTTCCGAAGTTTTAGAAAACAACAATATTTTGTCAATGAATGATACAAAATGTTATTTTAGCACATCAGAAAAATACACAATTGTTTGCAAGTGTTCCAAAAAGTATTCATGCATTACATGTTATCGAGAATGTTTTATTTTTGGGCATTAGATTTCATCTTTTTAAGTTGAGGTTTCGACGATTAGAAAACATTTAAAAACTAATTAATCTTGTGTCTGTCATTGGCTCTTCCTAAAACAAAGTGGTTAATATGTTTGTGGAAACGATTGTTGTAATGGCTTTGGGTTTTATTGCTGCCTACTATTTTGGGATTAATGCCTCAAGAAAATCTCAGTGAATCCACCGTTATTTACGTTGCTCATTACGTGAGATGGAAATGAAGGCTTTTTTAACTTTTGGTTTTTAGTTTTCAACGAACCTTATATATGTACACATTTCCAACTCAACACTTTAAACCGATACCAATTTATGTGAAAATAAGTTGGTATTACTTTTTTTGAGAAGTCAGGCAACCTTTTCAAGGTTTTTTCAGCATGAAGAAATGTGAGTTTTTGATTGATGATGAATTAAAAAGTAAGTTTGCAAAAGGATGAAAAATGTGACTATTGATTTGGAATTTTTTGATAGGTCTAATAGGAGTACTCGTCGTAATCGTGCTGATTGCATTAGGGGCATTGGCTATTGTTTCCATTACACCTCCACCTTCTAAGAGATGCGGAACGCCTGGTGGACCGCCCATTACCGCCCCTAGGATACGCCTCAGCGATGGTCGCCATTTGGCCTACGAAGAACACGGAGTTAGTAGACAAAATGCCACCTTCAAGATCGTCTTTATCCACGCATTCGCCACCTTTAGGCGCGATGCAGTTATCGCCAACCGTGTTCCTCCTGTAATGATTCAATCTCTTCTCTTCATTTTTTGCTTAAGGCCTCAATTGCTTTGTTTCTGTTTGCATTTACGTTTGCTTTCTGTTTCATTTCTTTCAAAATGTTCCCACAACTTTTAACATCTTAAGCAAAATTTATTTATTTGTTTGTGGCTGTGATTTTGGCATTTGCAAGACAACCAGAGGCCTAAATAGAGAGTAACGCCTAATTATATTTGTTTCTTCAGGGGTTTCTTGAGAAAAATGGCATCTACGTGGTGTCATATGATCGACCTGGTTATGGAGAGAGTGATCCTCATCCGAGACGCAATGAAAAGACTTTAGCTCGTGACGTTGAACAACTCGCTGATCAGTTACAACTTGGTCCCAAATTTTATGTGGTAGGATACTCAATGGGAGCCCAAGCTGTTTGGGGTGTTCTCAGATACATCCCTCACAGGCTAGCTGGAGCCGCGTTGCTTGCTCCTGTAGTAAACTCATGGTGGTCTAGTTTCCCGGATAGTTTGACATGGGAACTATGGAACAAGCAATCTGTAACCGAAAGGTTTGGGATGCTCGTTACTCATAACGCTCCGTGGCTACTCTACTGGTTGAACGCCGGAAAGCAAATCCAAAAATCAGCTGCCATCCAACCAAACCCTAAGTCATTCTCTCCTACAGATATGGCAACACTGCCCAAACTTGCCGCAAGGGAGGCGTACAAGAACCAAACAACGCAACAAGGGGTACACGAATCATTAGTCCGGGACACGATTGTTGGATTTGGGCAATGGAGATTTGACCCGATGAAGATAGAGAATCCATTCCCAAAGGGTGAAGGGTCGGTACATCTCTGGCAAGGGGATGATGATAGGCTGGTCCCGGTACAACTACAAAGGATCATTCCTCAGAAACTAAGCTGGATAAAGTATCATGAGATTCCAGGAGCTGGTCATTTGTTTCCAATGGCTGATGGGTTTTCAGAAACTGTCTTGAAGGAACTCTTGCCTATTCC